AGTGATAGATGATGGTATATACTTTCCCAACTACTTAAATTATAACAATGAAATAATTAATTTACAGGAGAGGAAGAAGTAGTGTTTATTTTGAATATAGTATATAAGCATAGTTTACTGAAGAACAGAAGCTTTACTTTTCTCTCATTTATATTCACAGAACAACTCATATTCTGGAAACTGCTAGCTCTTTCCTTACATATCTAATTTTATTAGTGTGTGTTTTTTTGGCAAATGCTAGATGCAAATCTCATTTAGACAGTAGAGAGGTATAAAAATAATAAATACAGGTTACTTTCCTCCCTACCTCTATTTCCAGCATAGTTTTTCTGTTCTGGAAACGCAATGATATTCTTTTTTCCTGGCCACATATTATTTAACTATCATAACCATGACTCATTTGTCTATCAAGGCTCATACTACCCACTCTATAGCCCTGCCCTAACTAATTTGGAAAAAAATAAGAGATAAGAATACAAATGTTGACAGAGGCAGAGTTTTGAGTTTTACTCACTCTTTTGAGAGTTTTTGCACTACTTTATTTTAATCCTGTGTAGGCTCTACCAGAGATAAAATGAAGAACAATATGTAAATATCTAATATTTGTTGTGCATGTATCAAATCCATTGAATACATTAGCTTACATAATTTAACAAAGTTGAAAGGACCTTAAGAATTATCTAATTTATTTTTTTAACTTTTTCTTTTCTAAAAAAATTATTTCATTTGTAGAAATCTGCCATCCTTGGATGCAAATTATAATTCTCAATTATACCAGGTGTTGGAGATGAGTTAACTCTAGATTAACAAAATAACTGCTGTGTGTTTTCTCTCTCTATTGAGATATACTGGCTAAGAAAATAGTGTTAACTTACTTCTAAGTGTTGTTACTGAACATTATAGACACTATTTATTAGAGTCATTTCATAGGGATTTATAGAAAGAGCAAATAAGTTTCCTTATTTTTAAATGATTTAGTTATTAAACACAGACAAAATTAAAGACCTATTTTGAGAAATGAGAATAGTGACGAATTAAATAATAGAAGAAAAATTTACAATTGAATATTTTTATATTGAACTGGAGTTTATTTATTTATTTATTTATTTATTTATCGTCTATCTATCTATCCATCTGTCTATCTATCTATCTGATATTTTTTCCATTGATTTTAAGAGAGATTGAAAGACAGAGGAAAAGACAGAGAGAAACATTGAAGTGAGAGAAACACATCGATTGGTTGCCTCCTGCACGACCGGGAGATGTCTGCAACTGAGGTACCAGCTCTTGATTGGAATCGAACCTGGGACACTCTATCCACTGAGTCAAACCGGCTAGGGCTGGAGTTTATTTTAAAAAGCAAGATACCAGGCCATAAACCCGGCCACTTAGTACAGCAGTCCCCCTTATCCACGGTTTTGCTTTCTGCAGTTTCAGCTACCCATAGTCAAATGTTAAATGAAAAATTCCAGAAATAAATACTGTATAAATTTTAAGTTGCACAGTTCTGAGTAGTGTAATGAAATCTCTCACCATCCTGCTCCTTCCCGCCCAGGATGGGAATCATGCCTTTATCCAGGGTATCCATACTTCATACACTACCTGCCTGGTAGTCACTTAGTAGCTGTCTCAGTTATCTGATTGACTGTAAATATTGCAGGGCTTGTGGACAAGTAACCCTTATTTTACTTAATAAATGCCCCAAAGCCATTCACACAACTTTTTTATTATAGTATCCTATATAATAAAAGGCTAATATGCAAATTGTCCCTTCCACAGGGAGTTTGACCAGGGGACGGGGCCTGCCAACCACCTGCAGCCCCTCGCCCAGGCCAGCCCTTCCCCTGATTGCCCTCCCACCCCAATAGGGGGCAGGGCTGGCCCGCCAATTGCCTGTGGCCCCTCCCCCTGGCCAGGCCCTAATTGGGGTGGGCCAGCTGGACCCATGCACGAATTCGTGCACCAGGTCTCTAGTATTGTTTTAATTTCTATTTTATTATTAGTTATTTTTAAATCTCTTACTGTGCCTAATTTATAATTTAAACTTTATCATAGGTATGTCTGCTTTTGAAAAAACATAGTATAAATGTTTTGGTATACTATCCACAGTTTTAGGCATACACTTGAGGTCTTCAAACATATCTTCAATGAATAAGGGGGAGTTACTGCCTAAAAGTGAGAATATTTTTTAATGGTAAATTGAAACAAATATGTATAAAACCTAATAAAAAAGTTTTGTTAGATCTTATTTGCTATACATTTATATTGTCAGAAAATACTATCTGATCTTAGATTGTGTGAGTTAGGTGAGCAATTATATAATTTCAACTGATATAAAATATTATGTGTGAACCAATCACTTGGACAGTATTATATTGTATTCTATTAAAATCTTATTACTATATACCTTAACATTTAAAATAATAAATACACAATTTTTTGAACTTTCTAATCAATAGTTCTTCATCTTCTTTTAAAAAAAATACATTTATTGATTTCAGAGAGGAAGAGAGAAGGAGAGGGAGATAGAAACATCAATTATTAGAGAGAATCATTGATCAGCTGCCTCCTGCACACCCCATACTGGGGATTGAGCCCACAACCTCGGCATGTGCCCTTGACCAGAATCAAACCCAGGACCCTTTAGTCCACAGGCCAATGGTCTATCCACTGAGCCAAACTGGCTAGGGCTAAAAATTTATTTTTAATATAGCTAAGTATTACACCCAGAAAGACAAACAATACCATATAAAAGGGTACACTATTTCTTTTATTATTCTTAATTAGTTACACAGGAAGAAATTATATATTTTTTTATACTTGTCATGACAGGTTTGTTAAACCAATCAGGTAGTATGAAAATAAATAGACAAATATTTTTTAAAAAAAATCTAGATCTGGATAAGAAGATACTCCTTTTGTCACTAGAAAAATACATTTTAAATAAAACCATAATCCTACTTTGAAAATTATAAAATGCAGCCACAGAAATATATTTTGTCAGGTACAGTAAATGTTTAAATAAATATAAAAATAAAATTTTAATGAATTAAAATAGCTTCTATGCATTAATAAGGGGCATCTATCTATCTATACATATGTGTGTGTGTGTGTATATATATATATATATAATGCATATAATGCAGAGAAAAATGCCATAATTAACTGAGGGGCTTTTAAAAAGACATTATTTGCATTGCTTTAAACCAGTAAACTGCTAATTAGAAATAAAATAAAATAACTGATACCACATTAATTTTTTTCATAACAACATGAAGATTTAGTACTTCCCCCAAAGAATTTACAAGTAGAATTTCTGCTAATATTCTGCTAAAATGCATATATAAAATGCACAAGCATCATTTGCCATGTATAAAATTTTTAAAGTTATAATTTAGCAATTGTAAAATATTCTAAAATTTCAAAATTCAGTTAAAAAACTAAGTAGGGGCAAAGAGGTTGATTGGAGGGAGTAGGGTTAACAAGACAAAAGACAAAGTAATAGACAATCAAAAATACATTGGTGGAAGGAAGTTAGATAAATTCATAAGTAAATATAAGCTACGCCACAATATAAATGCTCTTCTCTGAATAGTACACCTAAAATATTTGTGGATTCAGAGATAAGACATTTGAACTGGTTGAATGCAATAAATCTTTCCTAGAAGAGATAACATTACTGACTGAGAACGGGTAGGATTTCAGTATATGGCAGATGAAAAAAAAGAGACATTCTAAGTGGAATGACAGTCAAGGCACAGTAGGTGAAAATCTAATTTTTGTTATAAGAAGGAAGACTAGTCAGTTTTGTTTGCTGATTCTAGCTACATAAAGCAATTGCATAGTTAACCTGTCAGGTTACTCAATAATTTATAAACACTTTGTTTTAAAACTTCTATAATCAATTAAAATATTACATTTCTGTCAAGTTCTATATTCATAATTCAAAGTCGGTTAATTTAATAAAGAATAGTTAAGTTTCCAGAAATGAGTGCATTGTGTTTTATTATTTTTATTTGTATTAGAATACTACTCTAAATTAGAAATTCACCATGCTACCTGGGGATTTAATATTATAATAAACCAAAAGCAGAATATATTTGCATAACTAAAAAACAAATGGAAAATCTAGAATGAATTTAAATATCAACTTTACTGTATCCAGATAAGAGTTTTTAACATTATTTATTGTAAAAATGTGGAAGAATTGGTTCTTAGAATGCATCACTGTGCTTAACTGTGTAAAAGCAAAAGTTAAGTCAAAGTTTCTGAAATAAAATGACCTGTCTGGTCCTGCTTCTATATCAGAATCTCTTTTTAATTCAGAAAAGTAAGCAAATTTATAGCAGATAAGCACTTTTTAAAATTATTTTTCACTAAAGTGTAATCCAGAGATTACTTTCACTTTAGAACAAGCATTACAATTTGTTTGTCATTGATGATAATCTAAATTTGATCCCCAGAAATAACAATAACACTATCTCAATAGCTTACCATTTTGCTGAATGATTTGATAGGTTAGACAGATAAACTACCCTTTCTCAGATGACTATTCAATCCCTTCTCATTTTTTTAAAAATTAAACCCATGTTAGCATTATTACTTACTCTTTATCACTGTACTTGTTCTGAAACAAAAATTCCTACTTTTCTTGCCAGTCAGCTTCATATAAAGCATTTAGCAATATATTGGTGCAAGAATTGATAACATAGATTCTTCCCCAAAGTGAAATTCAAAATATTTTCCCAAAGATTGATGAAAACTCTGGAGGTTGGAGGAATAAAAAAAAATAGATTAAAAAACAATTAAAATATGCACTACAGTAAGAATAACAACAAACAGAAGAAATGAGAAATTCTGGGAATCTTAACCAATATTCATATGTTAGTTATTCATATATAAGTAAAATCATATTTCTACTTACATGTGCTGTGGCATACAAGGTAAGTGTCAGCTGAATACAAATAAACTGTGGCAGTATTCATTTAACAGCACAATAAAATTGTTTCCATATGATTTATCGTGTTCACTGGCCAGAAGCAAGGACGTGAGAGGAGAAAGAGAGAAAACAGGAGAAAGACAGGAACTTCTAAACTAAAAACCAGGCAAAACCAAGGATAGTCTGGCACTATAATGATTGTTAGTCAAGGCAGGATGTAAAAAAAAAATTCATTTTATTTGTTGTATATTTACTAGCATGCTTGGGGGTAGGGGATTGAGCTAGTACTTTTTTTAGTTTGCACCTTACATGAAGTACAACAAAGATGATCTGAATTACAGTACAGCAGAATAAATGTTTTTGTCCATGTGAGTTCCTCTCTGCACTCTGCATGTTCACAGATAAAATGGCCTATAGACTCTATTTTACCCATTCAAAGGACTCTGAGTTGCATCCCTTCAACTTTAGTAGGAAGTAAACAAACAGGACTATGACCATGTGATTTTCTCTGTAACCCACACCATACCTCCTTCAAAGAATGAAGGTGCACAGACCATTGGTGTAATCAGAAGACTGGTATTGCCAGCTAGAGAAAACATATGCTTATGTCTTAGTCACTTCAGGCTTCTTTAGAAAAAAAATTGCTGTTGCATGCAGCCCTTGGCCCTTCCTCATCTATACCCCCATCCGATCCACTGCTGGTCTTCGTACATGTCCCACCAGCAGCCCTTCCCACTTCCTGTTGTTTAAGTCCAGAAAGGTAGAGAGGGGTTCAGGAAGTGACAAAGATAATGTACATTATAAGTATCAATGAGATGAATCAAGATTTGAATTAATACAGTTACAATACAGTGGCTGTCATGTACTTTACAGATAAAAAAATTTCAATAATACAGCATCAAAAAAATCTATTACAGCATTTTAACTGTTCATGAGTGTAGCTTGAATAATATGACTGCCTAATATTAAGAATTTCTTTTATGTCTGAATAAATCATTTCTCATAGAAGTTATGGGAGGTTATAACTCCCATCAAATCATTTCTCTTACACGATTGCAAGCTATTTGTGCTGCATTCCTAATAAACAGTTCATCATTTGAACTAGTAATAATGAGGTCACCTTGGATATCTTTAATCAAAAACAAGCTTACACATTTCTCTAGCTTTTATTAACTAGTGAAGATTTTAACAGGATTAACTTTTTTTTTTCAGCATGTAATATTTGAAATAAAGTTTCCTGGTAAATTAAACAAGCATGAACAACACGAAAGTAGGTCAGAAAGAAGACATTCCAATTACGTTGACAACAGCACCACATCAGCTACGGTGGTTTCTGAGTCCTGGCTGTGATTGGAGCTGATGCCAGTGTCCGAGTCTGTGTCATTTGTGTACACGTTACATAGTCTTTGAGTAGAAGGAGGAACCTCCCCACAGCTGCCGGGGGCCTCGGGCTCCTTCCCTCTGCTTTCCTTTAGCTGGCATCCATCTTTGTTGCTAATATGAGCTGAACTGAACTCCTTGGCCAGGAGCTCATATTCTTTTGCTTTCATTTGGAGCAGTGAGTCACTGTATTTAATCTCTTTCTGGATGCCACTCAAGTGAGAGTGGATTTTCAAGCCAGCTTTCATGCTTTTCTCCAAATCACACTTAACGCTTTCTAAATTCAGGCTTTCAAGTTCACTTGCAGCTGCCCCTTCCACATCTTCATGTATCTCCGTGCAAAGACTTTTGACCTCTTTTTCGATTTCAGCGGAGAGCTTATCGATGAGCATTCTGTAATATACGAGCTGTTCCTCCAGCTGCAGGATTCCGTCACTTTTGCTCAGGCCCTCCAGAATCTGGTTTCCATCATACTGCAAGTCTAGCTTCTGCTCCACGTCACTGAAACTGGGCACTAAATAGGCATCCTGGACGTAATTTTCTCCATTATTTTCTACCCGCTCCAGGTGGAACTTAGCCTCACACTTTTCAATTTCCAGATCCAGTTCTTTCATTCTCTTGACTTGCTGATGAATGGTGTGGTCCTGGGAAATAATCAGATGAACTAAGGTCTCCATACTGTCTCGATCATGGGAAACTGTGTCCTGCTTAATTTTAGCCAGTTTCCGGAATGTTTTCCTGACTATTCTTTTTTGCTTATCTGGTGGTAACGTCTTCATGTAATTTGCAGGGCTGAGCTCCCACAGTTTTTCTGTGTTTTGTACTAATTTGGCTTCAGCTGTCCGCCACAAGGGAACTGGTAGAAAAGCGTCGGCTTTAACCAAAACGAATTGCATATTGGGCTGCTCATCCCCCCATGCTTTCCAAAGCTTCAGGATTCTAGTTAGGGGTGGGAGAGCCCGTTCCGAGCCCCTCCACTTTTCTATGATGCAGTAATCATTGGGCTTCCCCAGAAGAAATCGTTTCTCCCCAAATGTAGTCTCGTGTTCTTCCAGCAAAGCCTGAATGACATCAGCCGAGGTGGTACGTTTAGTTAAACCACAGACAATCTTCTCTTCTTGGCAAACCCAAACCACAATTTCCTTCTCTTCCGAATCCATGTCTTTAGTTGGAGATCTGAAAGAAAAACAAAGCACATTATAATCCTGTCATCACCTGTGTAAAGTCAGAAAGATGGTTTAACTTTAATACCCTTAAAAGAAAAGACACACATTTTGTGGTTGATGCTACATAAGAATCAGAAGTTTTAGTGCATGAAAAAAATCTTAAAACCCTGGGAGGTATCTTAATTTCCTTTCTTAGTGGTCTCAGAAAGTGCCAATTCTCATCAAAAACAACTGAGGCTATTTTAATTTATTTTTAGAAGTCAACCACAATATAACTAAGTTCAAACTGCTAGAGTTAAGACAATCAAGACAATTATCAAAGTGAAGGTGAATCGGAGGAGAAAGAAAATTTTCAGGGAAAACTTTTTTGGTATGTTCTTCCTGGAGTATTATGCCTTGAGGGTGCCACATAAAGTGATAAATGACTAGCTTTCACAACAAGCCAATTACTACTCAAAAATTGTATGTCTTCATAAATCATCTGGGGTATAATTCATTTCATTTGTTTCTTAGCATTGTTTAAAAGAGATATTATGACAGTCAATTTTATTTACAGTCATGATAGAACCTTAGGACTAGGAAGGACCATGGAAGCAAAGGTAGAAATGCTGAAATTATATTAAAGTCATAGAGTTGAAAACAGTCCATTTTTAAAATTGTCATTCTTTCATTCAACAAATTTTTTTTAGTTTTTTTAGTTTTGAAGATTTTTTTGCCATAATGAGTCTAAAAATGGTATAGTAGTAATTGTGTTTTTCTTTTTTTAAAAAAATAATTTTTTTCCTTTATTGAATAAGATATTACAAATGTGTCCTTATCCCCCCAATGTCTCCTCATCCCCCCAATCCTGCCCTCACCCTCACCCCCTGTTGTCCACATCCATCACTTATGCTTATATGCATGCATACAAGTCCTTTGGTTGATCTTTCCCCCTCACCCCCACCCTCCCCTGCTTTCCCTCCGAGTTTTGAGCATCTGATCGATGTTTATTGTATGCCGATCATGTGCCAGATATTTCTGAAGATGCTAAAGATACTATAATAAGCAAAGGAAATGAGGACACAGACACAAATGTGTACTTAATATTAAATCAGACAGTGGTAAATGCTAGAAAAAATATTAAATGGATAAAGGGATACAGAGTGACTTGAAAGAAGTCTATTTAGAGTGTTTAAGACTTAAGACTTCTCTAAGAAGGTGATACCTGAATAGGAAAGTAAGTTATGAGAAGGCAATCAGAGGCCTAAGGGAAGAATTCCAAAAAGAGTCAACAGACGTGCAGGGACCGTGAAATATGTTCCAGGGACAGAAAAAAAAATGTGACTAGAGTTGGAGACTGAGGATAGTGGAGTCAGGGTTGTTGCTGGTGGGAGAGAGGGGTCAAATGACAGGTGATGAGATCTAGAAGACAGGCGTAGCCTTGCAGGCCATGATAAAGTATTTGGATTTTGTTTCAGTTTTAATGAGAAGCCATGAGAAAGTTTTAAGCAGAAGAGGAATATGATCTAATTTATGCTTTAAGTATATCTGGCTTCTGTTTATGGAATAGACTGTAAAAAGGCAAAAAAAGGCAGGAAGTCTCAATTGAAAGCCTAGTGGAGTGGTCTGAGAAAGGGATGAGGACTGCCTGGACTAGAGTTGTAACAGTAGAGATCATTTCAAGTAGGAAGTGGTTCAAGTTGGGACATATATATCAAGTAAAGACTTGATAGTAATTTCCTTTATGATATAGAGGAGCATGGGGGGAGGGGAACAGTTTTCTAAAGAAAAAAAAGACATAAGTACTGAAAGAACCAAGAAAGTTGCATAATTTCTAGGCTATACCTTTTGGCAAAGTTTTACAATCACATTTCTATCCTGACTGTAAATTAAAAAAGGCTGTTTTTCATAATATCTCTTTAAAAAATGCTAAAAACAAATAATATGAAATGAATTATAATCCATATGATTTATGAAGACATACGATTTTTGAGTAATAATTGACTTGCTGTGAAAGTTAGTCATTTATCACTTTATTTATGTAGCACTTCAAAGCATATTACTCCAGGAAGCACGTACCGAAAAAATTTTCCCTGGTTTCTAGAATCATTTAACACTTAGAATTTAGTTTATAGTGTTTATGTTTCAGTAGCAATAGTGATTGATCATATATTGTTATCTTTATTTTAAATGACTGACTATTATACTTTGGTTATTGACTCTCCTGAGATCATAAAGTGACTACTAAAGAAGAAAGAACAAATTGGTGATACCAAATAACATAGAAGATTAGATCTAGTTCAGTGTACTAATAAAATTTTATCAGTTATTGTTCAAAAAGTCATTCTGAGTTGTAATTTCTCTCTTATAAAACATTTTACATTTAATGACAATATGGATTAATGTGATATCTGATATTTATGACACATCATTTAATAATTCTAAGCAGCATAAGGATAGGTTAGAAATTAAGATAAAATTACTTTCATATTTCAATTACTAGAAAAATAATACACAAATACACCCTAAACCAAACAAATATGTTCTCCAAGTAATTAACTACTATCTGCTTTATGACTGACTATAACAGGACATTACCTCTAAATTAATGCTTACCTTGATATGTTTTAAGCATGTATATAAAATATTCAAATTTAACAAACATTTTTATACACTGTGTAGTTAGGAGTTTACTAACTAACTTGGATAATTTGAAAAGAAGTAACACAAATTCAATGTACATGCTGTATGTTAAATTACAACTAACTTCCATATGAATTTTTATAAGTCATGGTAAAAATAACAAAATAGAGTAATTGTCATAATTATTCATCTCATAAGATAATGGCAATAGCTATTATGTTATAACTAAGGACATCTTTATTTTATACTAGAGGCTTGATGCATGAATTCATGCATGGGTGGGGTCCCTCGGCCTAGCCAGCAATCGGGGCTAGCTGGCGGGGGGGAGGGACCATGGGAAGTTGGCCGTGGGAGCACACTGACCACCAGGGGGCAGTTCCTATGTTGAGTGTCTACCCCCTGGTGGTCAGTGTGTGTCATAGCTACTGGTCGACTGGTCATTCAGTTGTTTGGTTGACTGGCTGCTTAGGCTTTTATATATATAGATAATGTTTTAGTCTTTAGTGTTAAACTCTAAAATAAATACTATTAAAAACAACAAGCAGCAGCCCTGGCTGGTGTGGCTCAGCTTGTTGGAGCATTGTCCTAGATACCAAAAGGTGGCAGATTCGATTCCCAGTCAGGGCACATACCTAGGCTGCAGGTTTGATCCCCCATTGGGGCCTATACCCAATTGATGTCTCCCCCCTTCTTCTCTCTCACTCAAAAAAAAGCAGCAATAAAGATTATAATAATCAATTATAAACTTTTAATATATGCCAAGCACTGTTCGAAGCTCTTACATATATCAGTCATTTAGTCCTCACAATTCTAAGGTAGAATGTTTGTAAGGTGGCAAATATTATCTATATATATATATAATCTACATAATAGGGAAAGGGGAACCGGGGGTGGGTGGTGGTGCCAGACCAAGGCAGGTGTGAGTGAGCCGGGCCTGTTTGCCCCGCCAGTCACCCCACACACAGAGGGTGACCGGTGGCAGGGGGCAGGGGCAGAAGTGGGTGGGAATAGCCAACTTCTTGGTTACTCCCCCTGGCTGGTAGGCTCCGATCGCCCGACGGGTAACAGGGAACAGGGGGTGGGTGGCTGCAGACAGGGGCAGCAGGAGGCGAGGCCGGCTGTCGGCAGCCGGGGAAGATCAGCCCTGATCGCAGGCCAGGCCAAGGGACCCTACCCATGCATGAATTTCATGTGCTGGGCCTCTAGTTTTACAGATAAAGAAACTGAAGCACAGAGGGGTTTAGTGACTGTCTTAAGGTCACACAGTTAGTGGTGCAGTGAGGATTCAATCCCAAACAAGAAAGCTGATTCCAGAATGCAGTTCTAACCATTACACAAGAAAAACAAGTTTACAAATTTGATGACTTAGATATGCAGACTAAATTGAAAAAAATCATAAAATAGACTTTATTTTTAGGAGAAACTCTATGACATAAATTAGCCTTTGATAGCAATTGGAACTGCAGTGCCCTATTGGAGCACTCAACTGGTCAAGGAAGGATGTTTCCCAATGGCCAACCTTGGAAGAAAGTGTGTGGATAGGTGTTATCTTCTGTGCCTTTTTCTTCTTAATCTTATTCCTACTCTGATTTAGTCAAAGGGATTTCTGACTGGCCTGGTGCCTCCCTTAGCTGACAAAACTCTCACATATATAAAAGCAGTTATTGGTATCTCCTTGGAGTAGTTCCTATGTCTTGTTCTACTTTCTGGCTTGGAAACACCAGTTCTGGGTAAACTCAACCCTACACTATATCTGTGAAGAGGGCTGAGAAACAGAGGTGAATAGATTCTTTAGAATAATAATAACCACTTATATGCCAACTCTCTAATACTTTCATGACCCCTATTCCAATTGAAATTCTTATTGTTTGGAAGGTTCAACTTCTTGTATATTATGTCTTTCCCTAGAGATCTGTTAGTTTTCAGCTCATGTGGATAATATAACACTGATGGGTATTATTCACAATCAAGAAAGATATTTTTATTTCTATATAACATATGAGAAAGTTAGTGCCTTTATTAATAACCTCACAATCCTTTCCAGCCTTTGCTTTTAAGTCTTCCCTAAACGTCCTTATATTTTCTTGGGTCCGTTATTTCTAAATGTTTTGTGTAATTTTTACAATCGTCATTCAAACCAGAAAATTTTCAGAAATTATGCCGCTTGACTGAACATATTTAAAAGCAATGACTGTTCGTTATTGAATTTAGGGAATAAATCTTTCATACCTAGTATAAGCTTCATCATTTTAAAATTCTGCTTTGTAGCCCTAGCCGGTTTGGCTCACTCGATAGAGCATCGGCCTGGGGACTGAAGGGTTCCAGGTTTGATTCTGGTCAAGGGCATGTACCTTGGTTCAGGCACATCCTCAGTAGGGGGTGTGCAGG